AATCAGGGTTTTCCAACTCCCCTAGGTGGACACGGAAGGATTACCAACGCGGTCGAAGCGTCGGACATTCGCTTTTTGTCCTCTCAATTTCATAAACGACACCCTCGCCACGAGAAGGCAGTGGTAGGACTTCCCTGGCAGTGGATCTATACACGTGGCCACGAGAGAGCGTTTAGAGAGGGAGAGCTGATTCGTCCCACCCTCAACCATATCAGGGCATTTAAGGCTAACAAAGGATGAGAAAGGATAAAAATGCCTTATTTACAATTTACTATATAAATACATCTCTCATTACTGTGAATAATTAAACATTTAAAACATTCTGATAGAATATTTCATTTTTATGAATCAAAATGAAAATCATAAATACATTTATATTAGTTGTTTGAATCTTCTTATTAACGTTTAAGACTGCGATTGATCAGTCTGTGTATCCTGTGTGGATTGCTTCGATATTTAAGTTATAAGGATTATAGGTAGAGGGGAATGGTAGCTAGAAGTGAAACCCGGGACGCCTCTCAAAATATGTCGAATATATATGCTAAAAATGACTGATTAATTGCAGTTCTAAACATTAATTGGAAGATTCCAACAACCAATAGAGATTAATCAGATTTCACTCCGATGCACAAGAGAACAGTAGCTAGGTGGATAACGCGATAGCGTTTGAAGCAAAAAGTGATGGAATCGAGTCCTTGAGTGAACATTAACTCCGGGACCCTTGTAAATTCAACTGGTGAGTTCTACATGGAATGAACCGGATGTCTTCGATTCTGCTGTGAGCTACCATTCATTCATCCATAAGCATGAAGTTGTAAATTGTTTGATTACAAGTAATACATGTTACTGTGGATTTCTTGTGAGATATCGTTTCATAATTAAACCATCTGTAATCTTTAGATACAAACTGTTCACTTTAATACACAATAGAGTTTTCATGTAAATGACGAGATAAAAGTAGATGCTATAAACATCATCTTTCCACTAATCAAACAAAATTTTGAATACAATATAATGATCATTTTAGAAAAACGTCTATAAAAGTTGAGTATAATTTAAAGGCAACAATCAAACTGTATTCAATATCAAATAATTATAACATTGTAAATATAAATCTTTTGTGATGAGATAAATGTAGTATTTCACTGTAGTCATCTTATTTACCTTAACAAATCACATCAGTGAGAAGATTCAAGTAAACAATACCAAGTGAATTTAAATTTCACTCCATTACACAAGCAAGTGATTATCAGGACTCAGTAGCTAAGTAGATAAACTGATGGCGTTTGAAGCAAACAGTACTGGGTGAACATTAACATCATTGATGCTTTTAGGACTGCAAATGATCAGTCTGTTATTAGTATATGTACATACTGTGAGTATTGCCTTGATATTGCCTCAAGTCACAAGCATTGTAAGAAAAGATGGATAGTGGTTAGCAGTGGAATCTAGTTTGACGCGCGTTTCGTCCTAGTTGGGATTTGTCAGCTGGATAAGGCGATTCTATTTGAAGCAAACGGTACTGGGTTCGGGTCCAAGAATGAACATTAATTCCGAGATGCAGGTGAATCCAACTGTTAGGTCCCAAATAAGACGAAACGCACGTCCTGGATTCCACTGCTAGTCACTATTCATCTTTGCTTCTAAATCACATTAATGTTTTTTTATTTAATACTAACACGTACATAATTTTGTGATTTATCATTATTTGGCTACATTCCTGATAGCATATTACTCCATGAATAGTCAATTTATAATTGTTTAATCATATACATGACAGTTTTAAGTGATTATCTATATATGATAATATTGAATGAATACTATATCAATTAGCATACAGAATGATAAACATACCAATTTCGGGTAAAGCTTGAATATGATTTAAAATGAAAAGCCAAAACCAAATAAATTGCATCATTTTACTCATTATAATGTTTTCTATTATAGGCTTTCTTAGAATGAAAGGATAAACATATAAATTTATGGATATATATATATATATATATATATCCATATGAATGTCAGGCATAGAAGACCCGAACACAAGAAGGATCAAGACATATCACCATAACATCAGCTGAATCAAATCACAAGGTATAATTTGATTATGGTTAAGATTTATCTTTTTCAAATAAAAAGAAGAAAAAGAAAAGATACTTCCTTTATTTTCAATAATTAAGTTGACATTAGTCTTCTTTTATATTAAAAAAAAAGTTTTTCATTCGATTCAGTTTTATATAGAAATGTCTAGAAAATGGTCTAAATTCGAAAATTTCATTTAATTACTTATCCATTAATGGGAACATGATTAGTGATTACATGCACTAATCAAATTACATTTGATGAAGAAGCTATGAAGGATGTAAAATTTTTTACATATTTGAGAAGTATCATTGATGAGCATGATAGATCTGTTATAGATGTAAAGGTATGAATCGGTAAAGCAAAAGAATATCTGAAACTCAAAACAACTGTTAACCAACAGCAAAGTTAGAATTTTTAATACAAATGTCAAAACAGTTCTACTGTATGGGGCGGAAACTTGGAGAAACACGAAAGCCATTATCCAGAAGATAAAAGTGTTTATCAACAGTTGTCTACACAAAATACTTCGGACCCTTTGGCTAGACACTATCAGCAACAACCTATTGTGGGAGAGAACAAACCAGATTTTAGTGGAGGAAGAAATCAGGAAAAAACGCTGTAAGTGGATAGGACACACATTGAGGAACACACACAACTGCGTCACAAGCAAGCCCATACATAAAATCCCTAAGGGCAAAATAGAAGATGAAGGTCAGTGAACATATTACGTCGAAAAACGGAGATAGATATAAGAAGAATGAACAACAATTGAATAGAACTAGAAAGGAAGGCCGATAACAGAGTGGTTTGGAGAATGTTGGGCAGTGGCCTATGTTCCATTTGGGGTAACAGGCGTAAGTCAGTAAGCAAGTAATTGAGAAGCCCTGTTAAACGTTTTAGTTGAAGATGTGTTTTAAAAACTAAATAGGTGCGATTTTATTCACCCATAAATACTTCATCAAAAAATGTTCCAACGGAATAAGTGTTAACTATTTAGCGACGAACTAAGTCTATTGAACCTTAAAACTTATATAGACTTTAAGCATGACAAAAGATATTTGAGAATGAAATATTCAATCGAATTAACCAATTACTTAGTGAATAGCAAGATATATTTGTAGACAAACGTATAAAAAATGTTTTGTAAGTTAATAGTCCGTTATTTTAGTCTTTGTTGAAATATGTGCATCCTATGAAGATGCCTTCTACATAATTATTCAAATACAGGTTTTATTGAGTAGATGGATTGTATCTAACAGGTGGAATCCAGTAGGCACACATCCTCCTCTTTTCCTATTCCATTCAAGATTCCAAGTTAGTACTTGCATCGTGATGCAGTTAAGTGATTTTCTCAATGTATGTCATATCCAATTCCAACGTCTTTTCCTAGTTTCCTCTTCAGTTGAAAGCTAGTTTCTTCTCTCTCACAATAAACTGTTACTGATGCTATCCAGTCAATGGACATTGAGTATCTTGCGTAGACAATTGTTTATAAATACTTGTACCTTTTGATGTTATTTGTAGTAGTTCTCAGAATTTCAGTTCCATACAGTAGAATTGTCTCGACATTCATATTAATGATTGTGACTTTCATGTTGACTGATAGTTGTTCTAATTTCTATTTGTTCTTCAATTGTAGGAATACTGTGCTGCCTTTTCAGTCATTGTATTTAGGTCTTTATCAGGTTGCCCTTGTTTATCGATTATGCTGCCCAGTTATCTAGAACTTTCCACCTCTTTCAAAGTTTCTCCATCAAGTGTGATTGGATTGGTGTTATCCATCTTGTATTTAAGAATCTTTCTTTATCCCTTATGTATGTTGAAGCCTACTGATGCACAGGCTGCTGCTACATTCGTTATCCTCATCAGGATTTGTTTGTGTACATGGTACAGTAGAGCTCACTTATCTGAGAATTTCGAATCGTTGAACTGTCCATTGTATTTCAATAAATCAAGGGTTTAATTTCACCTTTTTTGATAACATTTCAACAACCCTGATATTATCATTAGTAGAATTGTTATAAATTCATTAATGTATCAATAAATATTTACTTTAAATCCGTTGTCCAGACACTATCAGCAACATCCTACTGTGGAAGAGAACAAACAAGATCCCAGTGGATGAAGAAATCAGGAAGAAGCACTAGAAGTGTATAGGACATACATTGAGGAAAGCACCCAACTGTGTTACAAGACAAATCCTTACTTGGAATCCTCAAGGCGAAAAGAGAAGAGAAAAGAACAAAGAACACATTGCGCTGAGAAATGGAGACAGACATGATAAGCATAAACAACAATTGGATAGAACTAGAAATGAAGGCCTAAGACAGATTGGGTTGGAGAATGCTTATTGGCGGACTATGCTCCATTGGGGGTAACAGGCGTTAGTAAGTAAGTAAGTTTATATGTTGATTCTCATTTACTGGTTAACTGATTATGTGATTAGTGATTTGTTAATAATGAATTTTCTTAACCTTTCTTTCTCCATTAAAATACTATACAAATTTTATAGTGTAACCAATAAGACTATAATTTATGGACGACCTTTAAACGACGCCAATATAATCTTGAAAGTGCATACCTACTTAATCTTGCTAAATAAAAATTATAAAACAATTTAAGAAGTAATAATAGTTTACATTTGATGTTCGAAGTTTCGGATTTAGATTTATAGGTTTCATCACGAACTAACATATTAACTAATATCAACCAAGACACTATTTAAACGAATGAATAAGTGAATTTCGCTTCAAAAAACCAAAGATCTGTTATCTTCAATCTGATTGGTTCATCCTATAAATTATAGACTCGTCGTATAACCTTAGGCTATTTTATATATCCCATATTATTGAATTAAGAATTTTTATCCCATAGAAACCATTTTAAAAAGATAATAAAAGAAAGAAAGTCGTTGTTTTTCTTGTTGTTGAAAGTATGAATTCCTATTTATTTTTGTATATTCAATAAGAAGTGTTTTTCTTTTCTTTCTCTAATTTGATTCATATACATTAGATCATAATAAAGTAGTAAGTTATTATTAAGCTAAAATAGAAAATATCATGCAAAAGAAAACAATAATTAACTCTAATTAACTTGTAAAATAATAATAAATAGTGTATTATTGTTCTCTATATGTATGATATTTTTATCCACTTTTAGACATACATAATATGTATGAGTAATTATTTGTAACTATGTGTGAGTGTGTATGTGTGTTTTTGTTGTCAGACAGCAACAACAACAACAACAACAACAAAAAAATAATAACTGGAAGAGAACTGTTTACAGGATTGTTTTCTTTTTTTTTCTTTTTACCAATCTAGTTATAAATGTATAAATATTATGATAAATCTAAGAATTCATTTGAACTTTAATTGATAAATCATTTTGAGCTCTTCATTGGATACAATTTAGATCCATTATGAATGGTAAAATTGTTCTTCACTGTATATATAAATGATGATCATGATTATGATTTATACAATTTTATTGATTAGATAATGATTTTGTTTCTCATCCTCTTGATTTATTTGTTCAATAAAGGCACATTTATTCATTTCATTATTCATTAATTCTTCATTACGACGAAATTTTTCAAATTCATCTCTACGTTTTAATACTTTTTCACGTCTCATATGTTCTTTATAAAAATCAGCAAAATTATTCACAATAATTGGAATTGGTAATGCTACTACTAATACACCACATATACAACAACATGCACCAATTAATTTGCCTAATATTGTTCTTGGTAACATATCACCATAACCAACTGTTGTCATTGTAATAGTTGCCCACCAAAATGCCGATGGTATACTACGAAACATTTCAGAATTTTCATCTTTTTCAGCAAAATATACTAAACTAGAAAATAATACAACACCTAAAGCAATTAATAACATAAGTAAACCAAGTTCTTTATAAGAACGTTTAAATGTATAACCAAGTGCTTGTAAACCAGTTGAATGTCTAGCAAGTTTAAATATACGTAATATACGAAGAATACGAAATATTTGTACAATTTTTCTTAATGAATGTAATGATTCATTATGATGTCTTGTTACAACTTCTACCAATAATACATGGATATAGAATGGTAAAATTGCAATTAAATCAATAATATTGAGAATACGTTTAAGAAATTTCAATTTATTTGGTGAACACCATAAACGTAATACATATTCCAATGTAAACCAAGAGATACATATTGTTTCAACAATATCTAAATATGGATTATCAGTTATTTCATTTGATGATTGATGTATAGTAGTAGTAGTAGCATTATTATCATCTGTATCAGTATGTATCTCCGTCTCAATATATTTGATCAGTGTAGTGTTAAGTTGTATTTCAGGCATTGTATTCAACGTTAAACTGATTGTAGATAGAAGGATAAAAATTATTGAAACAATTGCAAACACCTGTGTAGAATGAAATAGATGAAAACAGTAACAAGGGATTATATATATATATATATATATATATATATATATATATATATATATATATATATATTAATGTAAAGAAAATTAGTAGTTTGATGAATACAAATCAAAAATGTAGTTTACTTTTATAGTTAACAACACCGACTGGACTTAGCTAGACAACCATTAAAAACCAGTAAGCACTGGATAGTTCTTTTATCCTAGTATGGGACTTCTCAATAGTGCGCATCTAAAAAAACTTCGAAGATAGAACTCAAGGACTTCAGGTATCAAACTAAGCTATTACAAATGATTAATTCTGAAAGACAACTTCAGGAGTCCTGTTGAGAAAATTTGATAAGAGGTATTTTTAACATGTTTAACATGTAAGTCAATTATCCGTTACTGACATTGGACGTTAATTGTGCAATTATGCGAAATGAATCAAGTTAGACTTATAAATCATTGTTCCTTTACATAATAAATGAATGCGATGGAATTAAGAGAGGGTATTATGTTAATTATTCATTTAATAAGAATTATACCAAATAGTGATCGAAAACCCAGATGTGAAAAAGAAATTTAATATTCAAAGCTTGTGACTTAAGGTAATATCGAGGCAATCCACACAGTATGCACATATGCCAACATGAGACTGATCAATTGCAGTCTTAAATAACAATGGGAAAATACAAGTAAAACAACACCAAGTCAATTTAATATTTAACTCAAAATTACATAGTACCTTCCTAAAATATGAAAATCACACATAAAACATATTATTTGCATATCTTCCATAGTTATTCTCCACATGCTTCATGCTTCTTTCAATTCTTTTGTTATTCCAATTACTCTTTGTTTTCTTTCATGTTCTTTACAATTCATTTTTCTGTTGGCAGACATCCCACTTCCATTTGCCGCTACATACTACTTATATCTGTCAGCATAAGTAGCATATATATATATGTTACATGGCAAACATAATGGGATATTTAAACATTTAATCCCAACAACGTCTTTAACTTTCTTAATTTATGACTTTAAAAAAGATTACCGTAAAAGATATTCGTTTATTAATTTATCATCTTAACTTATACCTCGAGCTTAGCTTCAAGGTGAATGTTATTGATGACAAGATACAAGAAATATATGTCCATAGGTTGTATTTTTGTTGTTCACTTGAATAAATAAACGATTTATGTGTACCCATGAAACAAACAACGCTCTTTTAAGGCATGAAACTTCCAAAATCTAGTATCTAAGTTATTATCATTGAACTATTCAGTCAATTAAATTAGTCTTTTGCTATTTGTGAACGCATGAAAACAAATCTAATTAGTAGAATTTGAATAGTACTATGGACTTGGTAATATAACGTTGGTTGTCGTTTTGTGATCGATTATAGTGAAAATACAAAATCATTCAGTAATTACGTACTCCGTTTTTTTAACTTCAAATGGTAGGAATCTGTTTTTTTCAAACTGTGGAAAATCTTGTTCAGTGAAATATATCAAAATGAGAATACGAATTTCCATCTGATCTATATGGTTGACTATGTGAGGAGATGTCACTAAAGTGACAAGAACACCAGCGGGGACAATGGAATGTATTTGACATGAAATCTGAGAACCATATATTAAATAGTTAATTTTCAAAATATCAGTCTATCATCTCAAACTTGACTGTTCCTGTTGCAAACATCAATCTATTGTCTCAGATTTCATTATTCATACGTTTTCATACCCATTGAGTTTTATTCTCGTTCTTTCCTCATCGACCTTCTACTGAAATATACATTCTATACCTGACCACCCTCATATATTACTTGTGTGGATATAAGTAACCCGTACCACATCATATTACTTGACCTTCTCAAGGTTCTGTAAAATAAACTTGATATTTAATAATATTCTAGGACATTTGTAAAAGTTTATTCATTATTGTAATATCTATCTGAGCTTAATCATTTGGTGGAAAACACATTGGTGTTGGGAACAAAAGTAATTAGGTTGGATTTTCAATGTGAACATAAACATTGGAATGCAAGTATATTCTATATGTGATGAAATACGTGTTCTGAATTTCACTACTCGCCACTATTGAATTTCCATATTACTAGACATGTTATTCCCTATGTTTATTGGAATCATTAGTTAAGCTACAAAATGTTAAAAAAGTAACTATGAGACTGAATTATCATACAAATGAATTAGAAACATCAAGTTAAATGAATATTATCAATCTGTTAGGTTTGAAGTGAACACGAGTTCACTTGATCTGCAAACGAGAACAAAGACTCAGTGACCAAAGACCAGTAAGCTAGCTATCTGATGCGTCCCAGTCACACTAACTAGAGGGAGAAGTCCAAGTTTGGAATGGGAATGTATATTCTGTAAACAGTCAGAAACGAGCGATAACAACAAACACAATTCAAAATGTATATATACAGTGCAAAACCGTCCTTGGGAAGAGTTACTAAATAGCATACTAAAAGACGCAACGAACCAATAACTTTTAAGATATTTCCCAGTGGAAAATACGACATGAAGGTGACAAGAGCGCCCTTGGCGCGAAAACAAAGAAATTCAAATTTTTTAAATAAAATTACAGAATTAGGTCCTTTCCCAAGTGAGTTCTGGGGACCATGGAAAACCTGGAAGCACTGAAAGGTCGTTTCGTCCTATTATAGCACTCTTGTAGCTTCAACTGACTCATGATCTTAACCAATGAAATTACTTCAGTATCCATAAAACCCATCTGATATTATTCAACATATGCTCACTAGTGACTGGTTTCAAGAGGTATTTCTTGGAGTTCTGGTGAGAAGTATTGACCAGTTAAGTTCAACCAGGTCTATTGTGAGATAGTAACTCACTAAAGACAATGGTGGATGTGTCGCCCAATTTCGTGTATTAGTTTAAGTTAGACATTAACACCGTTGGATGCCGGCTCAGTGCTCTAGTGGCTAAATGCTCGCGCGCAAAACCAGTAGGTCCTAGGTTCGAATCTCGCGGGGGGGGGCTAGGTCTTGAATGCGCACTGCTGAGGAGTTCCACAATAGGACGAAACGTCCATCCTGTGCTTCCAAGTTTCCCATGATGGTCTAGCTTCAACTGTCTCATGATCATAACCATTGAAATTGATATAGATTAATTTAATATTAAAACTAAAGTCTACTGTTTATAGTAAATGAGTATAGTAAAAAAAATTCCATTGATTTATATTGATTGAATATGAATTAAATAGTTTCCAGGGGAAAATCAATAATTTTGTACAAATTATTCCTTTTGAAAAATTTAAACATAATTGAAAAAATGTTAAAAAAGGAATAGAATCTATTCATTTAATATTAAGGATTTTCTCATCAACTGTCAATTTATAATACAATCTCCTTTACTTTGGTTTATATAGATATATACGTCAATTGTATCCACGTGTATAATCATAAATATTGTGATCGATTCTCATTATTATACTTCAGTATCTGAACTAATTGATCCATGATAACCTCCCTATTAAACTGAGAAATTTAAAACTATACAATCAATGTTCACTTCTGATTGAACAATGAATACTATAGACAATTGGTTGATAGAGCTATGGAGCTACTATCGAGCTTTCTCCTGGTAGATGTTTTTGCTTGTACAACTGTAACATAGACCACTTAAAGACATAATTAATCATCTAATATTTTACTATTGTTATATAGATGATGCTTTCATAATATTAGAAAAAGAACATGAGAAAGTCGGTTTACTTTATATGTATTTAATAGCATTCATTCATCTACTATTTTTACACATGAGGAAAAACAGAATAATAGCATATCGTATTTAGATGTCCAACTATATAGGAGAATAGATGGAACATTAAAAAGAGGGATACATAGAAAGTCTACAATTGAACAATATACTCATTTCTATAACCCTGAAGCAATCAAAAATAAAAGAAACTTGGTAAACATTCTAATTCATCGTGCTAGAACGACTTGTTTTGATAACATAATTGTAGATGAATCCAATAATATTCGTAACCTGCTTAATAAGAATGGATATTCAACGAAATTTATCAACAAACACATGAATGTGATGAAAAGAGAACAGGATGTATCTACCGTTCCGTAAACAGTACTGTTCTTAAAATTACAATTCCTAAATGATGCTACTGAGGAGATTGTAACTCAAAGGCCAAAAAAGACGGTACAGAAAACATTTACTGCAACCGAACTGAATGGAGTCTTCTACAACCACTCGATAATAAAATCTATCAATAAATACAGATTGTCTGAATTTGACACATAAATGTGTATTTACCGACTCAACTGTTCCTGTGGAGCCAGTTATATAGGGAGTACAATTCGGCAAGTTTATCATCGTATAACAGAAAACCATCCGTCTTAGTTGAGCAAAGGACTAGTGAGTGTGATTAAAAGTCATCATTCACTTGATGGACATAGGACATCAAGCTCAGTTGAATAAATCTCTTAACGTTAAATTTGAGTCGCTTATTACTTATACTTTAAACAAGGAACCACTGCGATTCTCATAACACGAAGTAAGAACACAAAACACTGGTACAAGTGAAGGTTTATTAATCTCCAAAATACGACGATGATTCTATTCGAAAATGCACTCATTTCTATATTGATTAATACACCTATTTCATTATAAATTCATGGCAAAAACACACGCTACTTGTCATGCTGAATATGATTTACTTTAGTTTAATACACGAATATCATATATTGAATGTTTGTCATTACACTGAGGCAAATCAATGTTATGCTGAATAAAATAGCACACTGAAAACAAAGCAAATTTTACACTGAATTATCATATTGATTTGAAAAACGGAACTAATATTGAAGAAGAATCACAATGAGTAAAAAAACAACGTAATTTTGCTTTTTCATTCCGTCATGTCACACCATATCCTATCAAATTTACCACATGGTTTACGAGTTTTGTCTATTTCACATTGTTAAAGCTATCGGAAAC